TGTGGGGGCAGTGGTGGGGGAGGGTACAGTTTCCCCTCAGGTCCTCATTGGCTTGTTCACCCCCTCCTGGGTTGGAGGCTGACTGGCTGGGTGGTAGATGGAAGAGCCTACATGGTTTTATTCCTATCCACTCAAAAGATGTTAATTAAGCACTTCCTACATACTTGCTCCCAATCCTCCTAGAGTATACAGTCCAGGGGGGAAATAGATAATAAGTAAGTGAATAAACAGAGAAAGCCATCATGACCAGCATGGGGGAATAGCAGGGAGGATGGGAGTGGCCATGCCATGACAAGGCAGGCTGGAGACAAGGAGGCTGGCTTCCCACCGGATGAGGAGAGAGCACCAGGGAAAGGGTTCTGGTGTTCTAAAATCTGGGGAGATGAAACAGGTGCACAGAGGCCACTGTCAGACAGGGCTGAGTGGGCCTCCTGCAAGTTAGGAAGGTCTCTCTGGCTTCTCCAGGAGGATAGGGTGCAGGAAGGAAGAAGGGGGCCCAAGGAAGACTGGAGTCCCAATGGTATGTGCTGTTGTGCTGGGGTTATCATAACAAAGTACCACAGACTGGGTGGCATAAACAGCAGAAATTGATTGTTCACAGTTCTGGAGGCCAAATGTCCAAAATCAAAGTGCTGGCAGGGCTCTGAGCAGGGTCTGTTCTAGCCTCCCTGAGCTTCTGGCAGCCTCTGTTAAGCCTTGGCTTGTAATTGGCCACTTTCTGTCTGTGTCTCTTCACATCGTCTGCCCTCCATGCATGTCTGTGTATTTCAGTCACAATGGGTTAGGGCCCACCCTAATGACTCCGTTTTATCAAGTTAAGACCCTGTTTCTAAATGAAGTCACATTCTGAGGTACTGGGGGTTAGGACTTTAGCATATGAGTGGGGGGGACACAATTCAGCTTACAAAATGACAGCCTGGCCCTTGGTAGTGGTAGTGACAGGGGTAAGAAGGGACTATGCCAGGGACCATCCTGGGGGTCCCAGTTGCCAGTAACACTTGATGATAGTAGAGAGAGGCCAGAATTGAAGATCCCAGGTTTCCACCTTTGATGGACGGGTTGAAGGTTGAGATGGGGAGATAAGGAAGAGATGAGGTGGGGGATGAGGGTGGATCCTGAAGGTCTAGTTGAGACATGTTAGGTTTGAGATGCAGAATCAGACCTTGAGAAATAAATGCAGAGAACAAGAGCATAGAGATAGAATTTAAAGCGAGAGAAATTCTTGGCATCTTTAGGGAAAGTGTGGATAAGGGAATGGTGAGGACTTAGCTCTCGGGCAGGTCGAGAAGAGGAGAGGAAACCTGCAGAGGTGATAAGGAAGAAGTTGACCTGTGCACACTGCTCTGTCACATGTGGGGTGCCAGGGGAGCTTAGAACCAGGAGGCTAGCCTCCCACCTCTGTGGTGTGACTTTGACCCAATCTCATAACTTCTCTGGCCTCCTGACCAGCACTTACCATGTAGTGACAGTGAGTATGCTGGTGATGTTGATGGCAGGGCAGAATAGGACCTGAGGTCCCCAGACCCCCAGAGCCCTCCTTGCTCCCAAACGCTTAAGAATACATGCATTTTTAAGAAAGCGAGTCCTTGTATCTTGCTGAGGCATGCAGAGATGGCTTTGCCAAACCAGGACCCAGGAGGACTTTGAAGAACCTGGGGCTAGAGCCTGTGCTTGCACACTGCTGCTTTCTTCACCTGAGCTGTTACTTTAACCCTCTTGAAGAAGAGGGAAAGCCAGGCCTATTTACCAGAATTTCTCTTCTCCCAGGATCAGGCCTGCCAAGCATTTTAGCTCTAGCAGGTGTGTGTGTGTGTGTGTGTGTGTGTGTGTACACGCATACATACAGCACACTCCTGTGAGCCCAGGGAAAGTGTAATAAAACCACCAGCAGACTGACTTATCCTTTTAGCATCATCTCACTCTGAAACTGGGCTGAAGTGTTTGAAGCTGAAAGAAAACAGCTATATTTGGAAATAGCTATTAATACCCCAGCAAGTATTTAGGTGGAAACAAAATGACAAGTCATGGTTTCCTTGTACTGTTGAGGGGTGGGGTGGGCAGGGGCTGGGGAGTCAGGGAGAGAAGGGAGGGAGCGCAGATGGGATTTTCCAGCTCTCCTCCCAGTGGGCGCATGGCCAGGGATCCACCACAACTTCCTACCCTCCCGTCACCATGACTGAGGGGTTACCTGAGGGACCTCAGCGGGACAGACAGATGGATAGCCTCCTCATGGGTTGACCTGAGGGGCTCCAGTCTAGCAGACCCCTGTTCCCAAATTCCCCTGTCATCAATGCCTAGAATTCCACCATTGTATCTCCACGTCTTAGAGTCTCAAGCATGTTTCTGCTGTTCTAGATTCATAGCACTGAAGCCCGTGGGTAGTGTAACCGCTTTGCTGTCACTAACATTTTAGTGTTAGCTAAGTGCTGGCTAACAGCAAGGCCTCGTGGGAATGTAGGGTTGTATCTTTGGGGAAGGACAGTGAGGGAGAAGGGTTGAAGGGACCACATGCAGACTGTTGCTTCCATTGACCCTGGGGACAGGGTGGTCTATTAATAGAGAAAACTAAGTGCTGCCCTGACTTCCTTTTTTATGGACTCTGTGGCCCGGGCCTTGCCTCTCTCTCAGAAGGCATGTAATAGGGGTGGGGTGCAAAGCAAGTGCCAACACATAGTCAAATGAGATGTTTTGGCCAAGAGGCAATGTCTCAGTTTCCCCAGTACCCTGGAGGCTGCTGATGGCTTCTGTTCTGCTGCCATTGGCCCCATCACAAACCATCTCCAGTGCTGGGCTAAGCAGATCCTGCTTGCACACAGTTGTTTTATTTCCCAGGCTGGGTCAGAGGGAAAGGTATTTTTTGGGTGAATGACCCACTGCCTACCTCCATCTCCACGAGTGGACAGCTCAGAGTTCTGATGGTGGCTCATTCCAAGATACTGAGGAGTCACAGCTGCCACACCCCAGACCACGGGACATAGACCCAGCTCCCCCCTTCTTTCTTCTCCCTTCTCCCTCTTCTTCTTCTTCTTTGACAGAGTCTCTCTCTATTGTCCAGGCTGGAGTGCCATGGCCTCACCCTAGCTCACAGTAGCCTCAAATTCCTGGGTTAAAGTCATCCTCCTGCCTCAGCCTTCCAAATAGCTAGGACTACAGATGCCCACCAGGACACCTGGTTAATTTTTTTTTTTTTTTAGAAGAGACAGAGTCTTGCTTTTTCTCAGGCTTGTCTCAAACTCCTGTGGATCCTCCTACCTCACTTCCGCAGAGTGCTAGGTTTACAGGTGTGAGCCACCATGCCCGGCCACACTACTTAGTTTTGAAGGCAAATCTCATTTATCCTTGAGGCCTCAGACCAAAGCCACCTCCCCTGTCATCCCTTCTCATTTCTCCAAACTCCTGTAGCACTTAATCTAGGCCAACACCCATTCTGTCTTGGTTCAAGACAACTGTCTCAGTGAGTCTATTATGTTTTCTTAAGGGGGCAGCAGGTTCTCAACAGCCCGGGCTGTGTCTAACTTACCCTAGTGTATCTCTCTGCCTTCTCCTCACCCCCAGAGCCCTCAGCACAGTGCCACGTGGAAGGAAAGCTCCTAGAAAAATCAGAGCCTGTTTTTATGCTGGCAATGGCTTTTAGGAGAAACTTTTGACTGTGACTGCCACGACCTACATCATGTGGCCTGTCCCCTCTCCTGCCTCCTCTGCCCACTCTGTACCCTTTACTCTCCCCACTCCATCCATGTGGGTTTCTGCCAACTCCTGAGACTCTCTTCCAAGCCAGCTCTGTGCTCCCTCTGGAATGCTCCTCCTTCTCCTCCTGGTTAACTCCTGCATCTTTCCAATTTCAGCCAAATATCACCTCCAGAGACGTCCTCCTTCCTAGTCTGGGATGGGATGCTTTGTTAGGGGCTCCCATAGAATCATTTTCCTTTGCTGACTTCAAAGCCCTGGGCCTCCCTGGTGCTGCACGAAAGGTGTGAGACTTGGCTGTCTACCTGCCCCACGCAGAGAGCTAACTTCCCCCATTGCCCAGCAGGTGGTTGGACAAGGACAAGGACGATGGGCAGCTGGTTCGAGAGTTGCTGCCCAGTGATAGCAACGCGACACTGAAGAGTGAGTTGTCTTGTTGACCAGGTGCTGGGTGTGCCTGTCATGAGCAGGTGCCTCCCCTCAGCTAGACAGAAGCAAGTCCTTCGAGAAAGCGTGTGCTGTTCACGGTTCACAGGGAGAGTGGCTCAGGGGGAGAGGGGAACGTCTGAGGAGGCTCTGGAAACTTCTGGTCTGGGCTGTGCACACAATCTCTTAGTGGCCTTGGATCTGAGTCCCTGGATGCTTATGGGTCAACAGGATGACAAGGAAAGTAGCACTGGCTAGTGGTGCCAAGCTCTGGGGGGACCTGTCATTCAGGCCTTGGGAGGAAAAATATATTTTGAAGGGACTGTAAAATGAGGATTTTTAAAAAAATACTAAAAAAAAAAAAGTAAGAAAGAAAAATGCTGCATATTGTCAGGGGGTCAGCCCTTTGTGGTGATTCTTCTTCATGTGCCTTGTTTGACCATGAGCTTTAGGCAAAATTTAAAAGAAACTTATCTCAAGAATGGTTAACAATACCAGCACCTCATGTTTATCATTTATTATCTCCTTTGAGCTCTGTAATGACCCCAGAATATGGGCAGAGATGATGTCCATTCATCGGATAGGGAAACTGAGATCTGGAGGGGCCGAAGATGTTTACATCTGACCTTTCCTAGGGTCGGATTGCAGAGCTGGAACCAGAGTGTCCAGTCTCTGGACTCAGAGTAAGAATTTAAGAACTTGCAGGGACCTCAGGAGGTGAGATGACCCAGGTGTATGGTGAGGGTCTGTAGTCAGTGTGGAGCTGGGACTGGTACCCAGGGCACCTCTATTTTACATCGCTTCTCTGGTCACCCCAGCAAGCTCCTGCCACACTGGAGGGACAGGGCCTTCTGACCCCTGCTTCCCAAGTCACAGCCTGTGAAAGGGTTTAAGAAGAAAATGGTGTAAAGGAGAGATCTTCTCAGTTTCTACTACATCTTTTAGTAAGAAGGACAGAAGCCATTTCCTCGAGTGCTCTCGGATCCTTAACGGAGCTGATTTGGACTAGACCCACTGGTCTGGTCTTTCCCAGGGCCTGGCTAGGCTGCATGGCTGGTCCCCAGGCAAGGTGTGCTCAGCTGTCTCCAAAGCTTTCTTCCCAGTGGGAAGACCCTAAGGCAGCAGTGTGTGGCTGGCCTGGGAATGAGCATCACTCTCCTCTGGATGCTTCCTCTCCTTTCCCCCAAACACACCCCTTGAACAAACCTGAGGATTTGGCGTCTTGGCTCATGTTATCCGAGGACCCGCCTTCTCCTCGGGTGTTCTTACTCTTGACACAGATGACACAGACCTTCTTGGCTAATAAAATGCCCTGACACCTATGTGGTGGCCCAGGGACAAGCAGGAACCTTAGGTCCACATTAGGATCTCACTCCGGCTGGTGACTCATTAACCAAATGCATGGCCTTCCAAGGCTCAGATTTCTTGCCTATAAGGCTGGGAGTCAGAACACCCAGCTGTAATACTCCGTGTGTGATGTGCCAATACTGTCTAGAGAGGTTGCTGCTCCCTTGGCCTCAGCTTCCTTGAAGCTGGACAGGTAATTGCTGGAGATCCTTTCAGTGTCTTAAATGTTGACCTTCTTGCCTGTAATTTGCACCTTCTGTTCTCAGCCTATTCACACCTTTGGCAGAAGGTGGGGCATCTATGAGAATTTGATGTTGTAGATGCAGAGATGAGGGACCTCCTGCCCCAAGTAGCAACCTGCCTCCTGTCCCAGGCTGCAGACTGCCTCCCTGCACTAACCCCTCCCTTCTTCCCTCTGCCTTGGGCTGCTCAGACTTTCGCTATCACATCAGTTTGAAGACCGGGGATGTCCCTGGAGCCAGCACAGATTCTAGAGTCTACATCAAGCTCTATGGAGACAAGTCTGACACCATCAAGCAAGTTCTTCTCGTCTCTGACAACAACCTCAAAGACTATTTTGAACGTGGCCGGGTGGACGAGTTCACCCTGGAGACCCTGAACATTGGGACTGTAAGTCCTCTTCCCCAGATCCTGTGATGTCACACCACCCATTCCCCTGCATACTGCCACACACATGTGTATACACACACACACACACACACACACACTCATGTACACAGAAGTGAGATCTTTTTTGAAGGAGAAAAATGCCCACTAGAAGGTTGTTAGTGAGGTATGTTTTTCTAGCTCTGACCTAGAGCAGCTGAAGACACGTGAATAGTGGCCATGCTTCCAGAGTCCCTTTGGGGATGGAATGTATATTTTTAGTAGCTTTATTCCAGTGTTTTGTTTACATCCATAGCCAGGACCCTTGTACCTAGATATCACACAGTGGAGAAGAGGAGACTCTCGGTGCAAGGAGGAAAGAGGAGAAGTGGGGACTAAAAAGTGGCTGAAAATATTTCTCACTTCCAAACTCGAGTGTGTGTCAGAATTATGCCTAGGAAGCTTGTTTCTGGGCACACATGTGGGCCATACCTGGGAGATTTTGCCTCAGGAGACCCGAGAGCCTCTGTCTATCAGGGCTCCCAGTGGCTTCAATCAGTAATGTTCCACTGCAATAGCGAAGTCTAGCCTGGACTGAGCTCAACTTGGACTTGTGCAGACACTTTAAAGGGAGGATGAGTGAATAGGAAGAGAGTGCACAGGGGCTTAGTAGAATCAGGGATGTGAAAAGCCACAGAGTGGTGGCGGTGGGGTTTGTCTGTGTGAAACCCACCAAGGTTTGCTATCTGCTACCTATTGGCATTTGTCTCGCAGAGTTTGGGAGACAAACCTACCCTCAGGTGTTGGCTGGAAACAACAGTAAATCATTTTTACAGCCTTGAGTTTTCTCAGGCAGGCACTTAAGGGGGATTAGGGTCAATCTAGGAATGTGGTCTTGAGCTGTTATGAACCATGATAGTGTTTTGTTCAGCTCTCTCTAGGCCAAGGTTGAAGCTTTTAGTTGAGAAAGGGCTGAGGAACCTGAAAGTTTGGTCGAGGTGAGAATTTTTCTTGACTTCACCTTGACAGACACAGATCTAAATCCAGAACTTGAGCACTGGGGGTGTCTGGAAATGTTTGAGCTGGGTTTGCATTACCACCTGCCCCTTTCAGGGTGTGGCTTGGTGGAAATCAAGATGTAACGGACCTGCTGTCTGCAGCCTCATCTTTCCCTACTTTAGGCCCTGAAATCTCTTCCTTCATCAAAACTCACTTATGGAAAAAAATCTCATGTCAGTCATTTATAACTTGAGGTTAATGAACTTAAGTCAAGGTTTTCCTTGATCAAGATGTATTTACATTTTAAGCTGAATTAGTAACTGCAGAGTCAAAATGCTATTCCCTTTACTGCAAGATTTTTTGCAGCAGCCAACAGATAAACAAGACATCTGCAAAGAGAGGGATGATGGTAGGAGGGCATTTGACCCCTCCTTGTGTTTCTGAGAGAAACCCCTCAATGAATAGCATTGGGCCTGTGTGGCCAGGCGGCTGGGGGCATGGCTCTGGCTGCCAACCACCTGCCCTCGGGCCCAGCATTTCTACCAACCTACTAAGCATAAGTTATGTAACCTGTTTTCCTCAGTTTCTCATTCACGACAACAGGGAATCCTAAGGGGGCTATTACTATCTTTAACTATGTGATAACACCCACATGCTCATGGTAAGTGTTTAGTAAATCCTACTGAACCGTTACTCTATGTCAAGTGCAAGGCGTTGTAGAGCTAAGACAGGGCCTGCCCTAGGGAGCTTCCATCTTAGCAGGCAGAAGCCCCCTGCCCCTGTCTTCAAGCTTTCAGCTGATCCTTCCTTGGGACTTTCACAATCCTGTCACCACAGAAAGGCAACAAAATTCTCCCCTGTCCCTTGGCATGCACCCAAAGGGCTTTCAGGCTTTGTCAGCATAGCTGGTTTCCTTTCGACCATTCCAGGGGACCCAGCTACATGCACTCAGCTGTGACAGTATTGCCATTATCAGCTGCAAAGAGGCATTTAATACTGGGAAGAGCAAGAGAAGGGCTCACATGGACAATTTTCTAAATCTGGCCTTTTGGCACCAGATGCAAAGCTAGTGTCACCTCTTCAAACCATCACAGAGAGACTCTCAGAGCTAGAAGGGCTCTCAAAGGTCATCTGATAATTCCATGTGATGTAAGAATTACCCTGAGTATAGCATTTCAAAAAATCATAAGAGCAGTGCAAATACTGAAAAGGCCAGTACATACAAGGATGGTGACGTGACCATCTACACTCTCATTTATGTTTCCTATGGGCGAAGATGTTAAAATGTAAAATAGCAAAGCAGCTATGAAGTGTTCTTGGAAAGAGAAAAATGTTCCTCAGGTCCAGAGTGACAGGAGGAACTGGACACAGAACCACAGAGCCCTGAGAGATTGTCTGCATGTCTTGTCACCTACAGGATGGGTATGTCAAAGACGAAATACAGAAAAATGTACAATAGTATGTTGTTTAAAAACAAACCAAACTAAATGGATGACACGGTTATCGGAAGGTGATGGCAAACATTTTGAACATTTTCTTTCTCGTGCAGCCACAATTTAACACCACTAGGGATTAGTGGAGCTTTCAAAGTTCACACCACTGGCTCCTTGCTTGCTTCTCACCATGGCCCCAGGAGAGGAGGGGTGCGCTGGACTTAGGAGGAGGGAAGGGAGGCTCCAGGAAGGAGAAGTGACTCCCTAGTCCCCCAGCTGGCTGGTGGCAGGGAGAGGACTGGGACCCATACTTGCCTGGGGAACTGGGGACCCAGGTTGAGGAGAGATTTATGCTAGGGTTTAGGGAGGGTAGGGTGGGGGCAGGGAGATTTCTACCCAGCCCACTCCTTGTTCACCCTCTCTTGGGTTTCCTCCAGATCAACCGGCTGGTGATCGGGCACGACAGCACGGGCATGCACGCGAGTTGGTTTCTGGGCAGCGTCCAGATCCGAGTACCCCGCCAGGGCAAGCAGTATACTTTCCCTGCCAACCGCTGGCTGGACAAGAACCAAGCCGATGGGCGCCTGGAGGTGGAGCTCTATCCCAGCGAGGTCGTGGAGATCCAGAAATGTATGGAGGAGGCTGTAGGAGATGTCAGCCTTATTTCCCCTGTGGGGTGGGGCCCAGGGAAGAGGGAGGAGACTCTGGAGAGAGAGAATGGGGATGGCCAGCTGTCTCATACCATGGTGCTGGGAGGGAAGAAGGACTCCTTTTACAGATGGGCAAACTGAGGACTCAGTGGATGAAACACTTTGGGATAAACATAGCAAATAACTTTATTAGGAAATGTACGTTCTCAACCCTGTGTGGGAAAGGAGTCTGTGTCTTCCCCTGGGAAGACTAGTTGAGGAGACAAAACTGTTTATGCCTTCCTTTATTCAGTAAATACGCAGCTGACCGCCTGCACTCATGAGCTCTGTATCCGTGTATTCAACCACCTAAGGGTCAAAAATATTTGGAAAAAAATTTCACCTGTACTGAACGTGTACAGACTTTTTTTCTTATCAATATTCCCTAATCAATTATTCCCTAAGAACTATTTACATAGTATTTACATTGTACTGAGTTGTCAGTGCCCTCTGTGGCACCCTGTCACCATGCAAATAAAAACAGCCGGGACACAGATTAGAAGTACATGCTTGCAAGAGGTGGGCTTCCCATATTGCAGGGAGAGCCCCAAGTAACCTCTGTCATGGCCTTTTATTGAAGCATTATACAACAGGTGAGCTCTTTCCCCATGGGCTCAACTCCCACCCTGTGCACCACAAATGTCCAAAGTAGAATACCTGCTTGCTAACGAGTGACCAATCTTATCTCAAGAACACATGCAGTTGCCTGAGGGCTTGTCTCCAGGCTGCAAAAACATCTCCAAGCTGGCCAGGGGATTGTCCTGCTCCCAGTGCCTCCCTCAAGAATCTCCCCTCATTTCCTGTTTAAGATATTCTTGTACAGGGTAATGGAGAAATCCACAGTGGTCTGTCTTGTTTGTTGTCCTCATCAAGTAGCTCTCCTTCTAGCTAGGTGACAGAATAATTAACAAAATTACACCAGTGAACTCACTGAGGGTTTTTCACAGAAGAAAAGAAGGAAGAGGTTAGCCATGCTGTTGAAAATGTTTAGAATTCCAATTTTTGTGACAGACTGCACTCTTTCAGGCAAATTACTTCCTCCATGCCAAACAATATGGAAATGGTTGATCATGGCAGTAATAAGGCTAATCTTACACATTTCACCACCTAACTGTCTCGGGCTGACCCATGGGATCCTTAATCAATGATGCTTCCATAGGAAGTATTAACCAGTGCCTGAAGTTTTAATCTCAGGTGGTAAAAGGCTACTGTCAATGAGCTCATACCCTTTCCAAGCTGAAGTCTGGAGGAGCAGCAAACAAGCGAAATTTTCTCACCTTTGCTGACACCAGTGCAATTATTGC